ACCTCCTGCAGGACACCCACCCAGGAAACCTCCTGCAGGACACCCACCCAGGAAACCTCCTGCAGGACACCCACCCAGGAAACCTCCTGCAGGACTCTTCTTGGCAAATGGTAGGCAAATGGTAGGCACTAGGGCCATGCTCACAGCCTCTAAATGCCTGTCCTTGAATCAGGGTGGGAGTACTTACCATAAGCCACAGGAGTGAGTTTCAGCACTGTGTGCAGAGGGCACTTGAGATATGGAAGCTCATCTAGAAAGGAACGGGAAGCAGCCCTCAGAGGCAGGGTGCTGGCCAGGACACAGCCTCCCCAGGCCCCCAGGCTTGCTGGATGCTCCCCGTTTCATGTCCCCTTGCCGTGGTGGGGCCTCACCAGGGGCATACTCCCCCCAACCCTGCAGGGGCAGCGCTCAGAGCAGCTGGGAAGAGAGGAGGAGAGCAGGGAGGCAGGAATGCCCTGGAAAATGGTGGTAGACTGGACTGCGTGTCCTGCAGGAGGGTCAGGCCGGCCACCCTGGAGACGGCCACCACCTCACAGGGCCAACAGGAGACCCAGGCAGGCTTCTCTCCAGCCCCAAGGCTGGGGCCTTCCGCAGACCCCACACCACAAAGGCCCACAGTTCACGTCAGCAAGTGTTTTCTGAGGCCCTGCTGTGGCAGTGGACAGCACCCACAGCCTTCTCCCAGTCTGGCCTGCTCCCTCTGATCACTCCTGCCCCAGGCCTGGCGATGGACGAGCATTTGTCCATCATTTGTATCCAGTTATTGACATTATGCATAAAGTTGTTCTGAATATTCATGTGCAATTTCTTGTCTGGGCCTATGATTCCATTTCTCGGGCAAGCCCGAGAGTTGGGGGCAGTAAGCCCATTTCATGGTCTCAGCCAACTGAGGCTCTGAGAGGGAAAATGCTCTCTGCAAGTCACACAGCCAGGAAGCAGCAGAGCAAGGACTTGAACCTGGGACCCTGTGACACCAGAATTCATGCACTGGCCCCTGCTCTCAACTGTCCTGGCCATCCAGAGGCTCGCAGTGTCCTGGGGGTGATACACCCACCTGCTAGGCAATCTCTCCTGATACCCACTTTCCCGCCCACCTGCACATAACACTCCCCATTTCCCTTCATTTTGCAGGATCACCACCCCTCATGGCTTCCCTGAACAGCAGGTTCCACTCTAGGTTTCTGAGGCCTGCCACTGCCCTCCCAGCCTCCTGAGACATTAGGTTGGCTGTTTTCCTTCCTGGGCATCCATCCTGCTGCTCCTCCTTGTTTTTGTCATCATCAGGCCCTGGGCCAAGGGTGTTTTGCCCACTACCTCATGACACCCTTAAAGATAGACTGTACACCCTCCTTGTACACTTTAGGACACAGACTCAGAGAAGGGAAGTGACTTGCCTGAGATCTCTGACCCAGCTCTGCCACTGCCTCCACTAGTGACCTTGGCCCAGCCTCTGCTCTCTCTGGTCTTCAGTGTTCCCATTTCATAGGACAGGATTGGACTAGATGTACTCTGAGGGTGCCCAAGCCCTGAGGTTCTGTGGGTCTGTATTCTCAGTCACATAATCTCTCTGGGCCTTGTTCCAGCATTCACCTGAGTAATAGGGTGGGTGGGTTGCGGGGGGTGAGAACATCTGTCCAGTGCTGCCTTGTCTGGCTCCCAGGACAGGTAGCCTGTGTGTAAAAAGCACTCTACACATATCTGAAAGGGGAAGTCCTCTGGCATGTACCTGGGATCAATGTCTATCCCTGACACTCTGAGCCCCATGACCCTGTGCCAGTCACTTCACCTCTCTGGGTCTCCATTTCCTCATCTGGACAATGGGAGTTACAGCACCTGCCTCATGGTCTCAAAACATTGCCTCGAAAAGTAGAGATGTGAACACAGAGAAATCTACCAGTGCAAGGACCCGCACCGCACATCCTATCACCTATTTCCAGTGAGGAAACTGAGGACTGGGCAGAGGAAATTCCTTATTTAATGTCAAGTTCTCAAGTGCCCTGGGTTCCAATTCTGGATGACTCCACATTACAGTGTTCTTTATTTTCAAACCAGCATTGTAGAAAAGATCCAAGACTGTAAAACATTGTAGACATTGAATATAATTTTGCATTGTTCTGAGACACCTTAAAAATATCCTGGAAATGCTAACATTTCAGCATCCACATTGGAAATGGAATCTCATGCCTGAAAGTGATATAACAGTTTTTTTGCCAGGCCAGCTGCCCCAGTTTGCAGTTCAGCCTATGTAGTCAGTGTGTAAATACTGTATAAATGCAATGCCTAGATATGTTTTAAAAATAAACTATCATTTGAAAAACAATTTAAAATGAAAACATCACTATCTTGGGGAAATTACCCCTATAGCAAGGACAGAAACTTGTAGTCAGGATCATGAAGCTACAAAAGGCCCCACTATCACCTGATGGTAGCATGCTTCAGAGAAATACTAGCTCATCTTTTCCAGATTGAGGCAGACTGTTAACGTTGGCTTTGAAAATGTTAGCTAAGAACAATACTAATAATAGCAGTTAACATATAGCCCATACAGTGTGTCATGATCTGTTCTAAATTTTTTACTTATGTTACTTAAAATTCATTGTTATTCTCCCCATTTTACACAGGAGGACACTGAGGCCAGAGAGGTTAAAGTAATTTGTGAAAGGCAGTACAGCTAGTATGTGAAAGAGAAAGAATCTGAACCTAGGCATCCTTGTTCTAAATACTCTTCTCTTAACTACTAAGATATAGATATCTAATTGCTGGTGTCAGTGTCTCAAATACCATCAAACTTCCCCAAAACCGAGATGAGGGTAGTACCTGAACTTTTATCCAGGAAATAGGCCAGGAGGCACCGCATGACGGCCTGGTGGCAGATCACCAGTACATTCTCCTGTCGTTCTAGCTCCATTATCACTGGCTCCAGACGCTGAACCAGATCCTCATAGGACTAAATGTAAGAGAGATATTTGAGTGAGAAAGGGAGATGAGGCACATTTGCCCAGAGGGGAAGAACTCTAAACTAGGAATCAAGAACATTTGGTTCCAGTGCCAGTTCAATTGTTGACCCGGCAGTATGACCTTAGGCAACTCACTTCCTTCTTAGGGTCTTAGTTTCATTATCTGCTAAATGGGGGCTATCAATATAGTGGACTAAATAAGTGTACCAATACAGTGGACTAAATAACAATAACAACAATAAAACTCCCCACTGCAAATTGTCTTCTTAAGTGCACTGCTGACCTTTCACAAAAATAAAGAAAATTTTATAAATATAGGGCCCCAAAATGAAGAAAAACTGAAAAAAAAGTGATGTGGATGTAGAAGCCACAGCTGCCCTGGGGGCATTTGCCAATCATAGTAACTAAGAGTTTCGAGTTTTAAAAACCTTATAGAAGTAGAAGACAAGGCCTTGGGTGTGCACAAGGTGGGGAGTTGAGACTGAGACTCTCACATAAATCTGAGACCCTCAAAGGCCAAATCTTTACACTCTCAGCAAAAGTGCAAACTAGAAAAAGTTCCTTAACAAGCAAAAAGAAACAACAAGAAAATGTGTCTGTCTCTCCTTGGCTCTCAGGGGAAATAAGTGAAAATCCTCCTGTAAGAATTTATAACCACCAGACTTCCCTCAGGTGAGCTGGTGATTCAGAGCTACACTACCCATGTGATTTGAATAATGTTATGCTGAGAGTTTAATAAAAAGTGATCCCAAGTCGTTAGCTCCCAGGACTGCTTAGAAGAAGCAAACGGAAATCTCTCCGGATTCTCTTAACTCAGGCTGTGTGAGATTCCCATAGATAAATTCTTGCCAAGCTGGAGCTCATATAACACACAAGGAAATAAGCTACCATGAGTAAGAATAAGCAGAAACAAGAAGAGAACCCTAAAAATTTAAGATAAGGGATGCCACAATATAAAATAAATATGTTTGAAACTTTTAAAGAAATAAAAAGTGGAATAAAAAATGTAAGGAAGAAACAAGATGTTATCAAAAATGCGATGTAGATTTGAAAAAGAACTAAATAGAATTTCAGAAATAAAAAAATAGTCATTAAAATTGAAAACTCAGTGGATGGGGTAAGGAGCATATTAGATACTACTTAAGAAATAGTGACTGGAAGATAAAGCTGAAGAAATTACTCAGGATGCAGCAAAAGATACAAAGAGATAGAAAATAGGAAAGAAAAGTTAGGAGACATGAAGCATAGAGGCAGGAGTAACATACATCCAATTGTATTTCCAGAGGAAGATAATAGAATGTGAGAGATGAATTTTTAAAGATAAAATGTCTGAGAGTTTTCCAGACTTGATGAAGAATCCCAAGCCTCAGATTCGGGAAGTCTCACTAATCCCAAGCAATATATTAATAAATGAAAAGAAATTAACATCTAGACATATTAGAAGGAAACTTTAAAGCAACAATGATACAAAAACCTTAAAAGTAGCCAGAGAGAAAAGAAAACTAGACTGACAGCAGATTTCCTAGCCACAGTAGAAGCCAGAAGACAGTGAGGGTAATACTTTCAAAGTGCTGAGAGAAAACAACTGTCAACCTACAGTTTTTACCCAGCCAAGCATCACTAGGATTGAGGACCCCCTCCTACCAAGACATTTTTAAACAAAAAGAAGGGTGTGTTTACTCACTAAAAAAGCTTCTAAAGAAGATGGAAGGCCGGGCACAGTGGCTCACGCCTGTAATCCTAGCACTTTGGGAGGCTGAGATGGGTGGATCACGAGGTCAGGAGATCGAGAACATCCTGGCTAACACGGTGATACACTGTCTCTACTAAAAATACAAAAAAATTAGCCGGGTGTGGTGGCAGGCGCCTGTAGTCCCAGCTACTCGGAAGGCAGAGGCAGGAGAATGGCGTGAACCCGGGAGGTGGAGCTTGCAGCGAGCCGAAATCGCGCCACTGCACTCCAGCCTGGGCGAAAGTGCAAGACTCCATCTCAAAAAAAATAAAAAATAAAATAAATATAGTCATGCTGCTATAAAGACACATGCACACGTATGTTTATTGCGGCACTATTCACAATAGCAAAGACTTGGAATCAACCCAAATGTCCATCAGTGAC